GTTCAGAAAGACCATGGATATCCACAATTACTGTATTTTCTATATCAGTATCAATTCTCGTTGCTCGAAGATGTTTTCCTATCGTTATCATAACCCCTCCGCTATGATTTGTACCTTTTTGATAGAACGATGTAAAATGTGGAACTTTGAAACTGTTCCAAAGTTCCCCTACTTCGGTAAATACGCATACTGGACTATCATCTTTAAAAATTAGATCCATTACTTCCAAGGCACGAGTACCCCATCCTTGAACATTATATGTGAGAACATTTAAAGGAATAAATTGGTTAGGTAAAGGGCATGGGTTGTTCTCCCATTTTGTTAGAACACTGTCTAGAGTAGAGTTAGAGTACCATTCTTCTAAAATAGGTATAATTCGTTTTTTAACTTTTATAGGAAACTTCCAATTTACTAGTCTATCTAATGCTGCTTCGAAAGATGGTTTTGTCAATGGGGAAAGGTTGTAGGTAGAAGAAGGGGAAAAGGGACGAGCATGAACATTAAGAAGAGAAGAGAAGTCAAACATCTTGGCCTAGAGAGTTCATTGAAAAATCGTCATTTATTTCTACTTCCCCGTTACTTTTGTTATCGATGGTGTTATTAGTTGTAATTTGGTGGGGAGAAGATATGGAAGCAGTGGATTCATTGCTTCTGTTCGAATCCAATTGCTTTTTCCATTTTTTGAAGATTTTCAATTGACTTGTTAATGTTTTTCTTTAATTTGGATCTTTCATTACTATTACCCTGCACCCAACTGGACATAATTTGTACCGTATCGATAATAGCACATATACTATTGCAATGGAGTATAGTGCTTTTATGTTGAACTTCGATACAGTTATTCAAATCGTTAAAAGATTTCTCCGTCCGAATCATAGTCTCTGATAGAGCTTTGATAGTTGCAACAAGATCACTCATCTCCTGTTTTAGGTTAGAGTGTAAAGATTCATTGTCAGATGTGGTCCATGCTGGACGACTAATTACTTGACCTTGATTTTACAAGGGAAAATCGTTCGTCTGTTGTTGAAATGGATGGGATACTTCACCTGGTGCTGATCTTCTGATTGCACCTGAAGCCAGTGCTTTGCCAACAGCTAATTTAAGCTCTTCTCTGTATTTTTTGACAACAGGGCAGATTGAATCAAGAGAGAAATGATTTCCGCCACACTGGGCGCAGATAAATGTATCATTTTGACAGCTGTGATTTACTCCATTAGTATAAGAACCTAAACACTTACGACAACTGACCGGTGATTGGCATTTGTCTCCCTTGTGACCAATTTTCCAACATGCTGTACAGTATGTAAGTCGATAACCAGTAAGAAATGTAGTAAGAGGCAGATAATGTTGACCAATTGATAGACGACCTAGTTCAAGTGCGGTTTGATATTGTTCAAGGCTACGTACAGTAAATCGAATATCATAAGATGGTCGTTGACGATGGTGATAATGAATAGACGAGAAACCAACTGCAGCAGGAATTGCCTTTAAGATTTCTTGTCGAGCAATGTCTTGATTAATATCTAAAGGAACGTAACGTACTACCAAGGCATAGCAATCAGGCAACGTGTGAGGCTTGATAAATTCAGTTTTTTTATTATCAATTTCCTCAGGCCAGATCCAATTGAACAAAGTTAAAAAATTTGCTTTATCACCTACAGGAAATTTAAATCTTCGTTCACCTGCTTGAACACACATCGACAGTTCCTTGATAGGAATTTGATTATCGGCAAATAATTTCTTGAGCATAATAGCGACCTGAATACTGGACGGAATATTTTTTGGTTCAACAGAAGCACCAAAGATGATGAAAAAACAAGGTAGATTACTAGAAACTGCCCGCTTAAGAACGTTCATATTGAAATAATGCTGGTGCTGGTGATGGTGAGGAGGAACGAGTGTAGGAAGATGATGCTGTTCGACTTGTTCATTACGAGGTGGAAGATCATTGATTCTCAAGCGTTTTTTCATACGTTGACGATTACCATCACTATTTTCGAAACTGTCACTAGCTGGACGTCTTGGAGTGGACGTAACGGGGGTGGTTTGTTGTTCCATAAGTGGACGTACTTCTGAACAATTTGGCTGATGATTCATAAGAGGAGGAATAGAAGAGATCGTTTCGAGAGACGGACGGATAATACGAGGTAGACGATGAGGCGAGTTTTGTGACGACGCTGGATGATGAACTTGTTGCTGCATTTGAATGGAGTGTTGCGATTGTTGAATAAGGGCTAAACCAATTTGATGAAGTTCTTAATTTGAGAAACGATTGAAAAATGATGTTAAATCTGGTGGGGGTGTTGGATTCGGGATCATCTTCAGCACCTAGACGTAGGTGCTGAAAATGTGTTGGTGGTGGTAGCGAAGATAAACAACACCACGCGAGAGAGGGAAAAAAAAGAAAAGATATAATATGTGACTTATCACTAGCGTGCAAGAATAAGGAATGGATGGTTATGCATATCGTCACTATGTAATAGTGCTATAATGTAATTACACAATGACATTATAATTCAACATAAGGTTAGACTATACGGAATTTACTTTTGCAGTTTTTCTGCAAAAGTAAATTTCGTCAAAATGGTAGTCTCTCTTTATATTCATTGTGCAGTTATTTTTGCTGCTGTTAAAAACAAATGATTTAGAAATTTATCAAAGTCGTTCAAATACTTATAATAAAATATGTCTCAAAATTATTCAAAACTTGTCACAACATCTAATCCAATCGAATTCAAAAGTTTCGACTACCGTTTGCAAAGAAACATTGTTTATAACAATAGATAGGTGACTGAAATATGAATTCTATCAGAGAAAGATGAGAGCTATGAACTAAGAAGAAGATAAATTCAGAACTTGCAGTTTATATAAAAATCAAATACGATTGTGATATCAGCAGCAAAATGCATCCTTCTAAGTATTTTTGCATGTTGCCCTAAATCCTAAGAGAATACAAATATCCAGCAAAATTTTGATTGAAGTTAAAAATAGCTGTTCCGAACAATATCAGTAGATGGAACGGTAGATCAATTAAATTCATTGAAAGTTTTGCATACGTTTTCTCTAATGCAGATTGCATACAATTTTTATCGATCTTTTCTCTTTTCTATAAATTTTTTAAATAAAAAACAACTATCCAGGATTTTAACTTGATACTCATATCTTCATATCTAATTAGTTTATCAAACACAAATCTTATTGACGTGTTTTAATCCCTCAAACATTTTATAAAAAATTTCGCAAGTATGATATCTATCAAAACACGTTTTACTATCTTTACAAATATTAGATACGAAATAATTGAAGATAAATCAAACTTTGGCCGACGGTAACACATAGACAAGTCATTCATAGGAAATTAATTGATAATGCCGTTTTATCAATACATGTCAAATGTGTTTCTATTCCGATTTACATTTTTGACGTTGATAGCGTATTTAATAACGATTCTATGGTTGAAATCAATCAAGTAAAACAAACATGTGTAGATTAAGTATGGATAGATCTTTTAATAGAATTATCTTCGCATCATTGTTTGCTCCGATGGTAAATGTTAACAGCCCAAGATTATGAAATTCATCAAATGTCAAAGGAAGAACTTCAACTGAAGTATAATAAGTATCTTCATTTACCAATTAAAATAAGAGAGGTTTAATGTCCTGATTTCTTAATTTACTAATATTACTGAAAGAAATTCATCAAATATAAACTGATTACTCTAACTATACAGTACTATGGGTTGGATAGGCAATGAAGTTTGATTTGATAAGGATAACAAAAACTACGTTTTGTGCAGTTTAAAAAATTGATGATTCATATCGATTTTTTTCTAATACTAAGCATAATCTAATACTTTCCTTGTTATTGTCTAAATCCATTATTTCTACAATAATCTTTGTAATTAATTAACACAAGCGTTTTGTTTTACTGGATCTTTTCGTTATAACATGTAAATTATGTGTTAAATATTCAAATAAGATTTTATCAATGAAAAACTGATCGAATGATAGGAAAAATGATTTCGACGAAGCAGACTACATTCATTTCAGGTGAATTAAGGTTAAATGATTCATGAAGATCAATTATTTGCTAATATTAATGCTATTGTTTTTGCAGTAAAGATTACCAGATGTCTTATCAATATAAATTATGTTCAACTGGATAGCACTTGATTTTGAATCAGTTATCAATGAATACAGACGGTGAGCGTCTTACTTAAGCTCGTCAACGAATAGTATTTGAGCCGACGTTGATCACTCCACTCTGGCATAATTAGTTCATACTACGTATTGATAATCTGATCTTGTCTTGCTCCAATATCATCACAAAAAAAGACGTGAAAAAATCAATTTCGAAAGATGAAACTTCATTGTTAATCATTCATCGGTAAATAATGGTCGATTATGTGTGAGCTAGTCAATTATGCGTATTATATTATGTAACAGGTTGACACAGTGAAATGATGAATATTCTCGAAATACATTTCAGCTAGATAATCCTCGTTTATTGTTTGAACAAAGGAAGGTCCGAATCCGTAAATGGAAATGTGAAAATGTGCCAATTTACACTCACCAAAATTGGTATCATTCAACACGAGAGATACGACAGTACTTTGAAATTATTTTTGAAGAGTAGGAGAAAAGACGCTAGATCATCCTATCCGTGCCTGTTGAATATTATTTTTGATTACTACTCTAAAAAAAAGCATTTATCGTACTATTATTACTTAAAAAAACAAAATCACAATGCAAGTCCGGTCATCTTCGCAGTTCATATTAAGAGACTCACCAAGTTCATGATTTTCAGACTTCAGCAGCTATTCTTTGTTTATTTGCAGATACTTTCATTATTATTATAGCAATTTTATCTATTGTGATGATAACAGCAACTAGTTTATACGATAGTCTTTATTAGTTATCGAGAAGGTATCAATATTAGCTTCCTTAGTTTTCTAGTAGATTCATTTCGATCAATATAGTTTTTTGGTAAATATTTTACTTCTTGTTAAGTTTTTTTCTGTATCAAGTTTATATGGATTATACGTAGAAAAAGTGCACAGCATCATACCACTAAAACTAATAATTTCAATATATTCTTAGACTTGCTAGTCAGATCTTTCAACATGAGTGGCATGATATTGACTGATTCTTTAAGATAGTTAGATAAGTTATTATCAAACATGGCACTGTATGCTGACACTTCTATTGATTTATGAAGACGGATATTAGTTATTGATAACAATTCAGTCGAGTACTCGTTGTCTACTGGTCAATGGCGATTAAATTTTATATAGAATTTGCTGATAAAAATAAAAATGAAAATAGAAGAAGGAAATCTCCTATTCTCACCAGGTTGATATTTTTCTATTGATGAGAAGATATAAACCTTAATTTTAACTGAATATCAAATTAAATCAACTGTTCAATCAAGAACAAGAAACGTGAACTTTTCTCATCTGGCTTGTTTTTGCCTATCAAACTATGAAAGTGTAAAATATGTTATTTTTATTCAACGAGACAATCAATGGTTGTTTTTTTCTCTCAATCATGGACACGTACGAAAATGAAACAAAATCATATTTTCAACCTTTTGGCAAAAATTAAAACAAAGAATTCTTAAATATTCTACTATTAAGTAAATCTCATTATCTTTAACTAGGCAACATTTTCATACGCATTCTACGAGAATTAAGAAACGACTGATATCAATATAACTAGTATTAAAAATATTATTGTATCATTAAATTAATTCTTAGATTTATTAAAAATATCTTCATGTGAATTTTTTGCCAGCAGTCTTGGGTGTAAGAAATACACATCAATATTTATTTTGGTACACTATTGATTTTCATTCAATAGGCAAGAAAAAAAATGATTTTAGCAACGAATAACATTTCTTTGGATTCTTTTGTTAGAAGTCAAATTATGAAGAATGTAAAAAGTGCAAAAGTCATGTTTGCATGTAAATGGAGAAAATTGAAGTTTTGTTTTTTATGTCAATCTTGCTCATATAAACTCGAAGCTTTTGATATTTGAGATTCTTATTAATGAGAAAATATGATCAGTGAAATGGCAACAACATGTCATAATAAATGAGAAAAAAAGTATTTGAACAACCGAAGCATGAGGACACTTATTACGGTCAATGAAAATAAATTTTTCTAGCGATTGATCAAACTGATTATTCATCGATGTGATTGACTTCAACAATGGACGAGCACAAAAAGAAAAGAAAATGTGTATTTTTTATTTATGAACATGAAAAATCTGTAGCTAAAAGCAATTGTGACGAGTAAATTACAGTTGTTTATATGAATTAGATAGATTGATATCGATTTTTCTATCATGCTATCATATTTTCTCGGTTTCCTTTTCAGTAATCGTCTGATTAAGTATATTAATCAATACTCTTCTTTTGTGTTTCATCATCTACTCTAGGGAAGACAAAAAACATAAACTGAATAGAATGTACCTATAGATTAATAAAAAGAACTGAATAACTTTTTAAATGTAATGCAATCGAAATATATCTTTTCTAGGAAATGAGAATCTTTGCTCTATTAAGTAGTAAGTATATGCGAGAAATGTTTTTTTTATGCTTCAGTTTCTTGTTTTTCTTCTATTCCATTACAGAACATATATATACATATATATATATATATTGTAGGTACTGTTATAAAATATATGGATTAGATGATAAGCCTCTTATTCTACTAGATATCTTAGCTGTGAATTGATCTGAAATACGCAGCGATAGGATGAGCATTTCTTTTATTTCCTACAAACTATACTACTACGCACTAATAAAGGTATTAGGATGAATGTTGAGTTTATATTATGTCTTACAGTCGGATTTTTTCTTCTGTTTTTCTAATGTTACTATAAAAATGAATCTTTTTCGGGTTTACGTATCAATTAGTATTGGTTGAGGAAAGGACCATATTATTATTGATAATCTTGTTGTTAGAGTGCTGGTAATAATTGCAATGGCTATTGGCTATTCATCTTGCCTTGGTTTATGTACGTCGAAAAGCTGTTGTCTGCAGAGCGCTCTTGAGAGAGAAAAAAAGGGAGAAAAAGTAGAAGGAGCGAGAGTGTTCTAGTATACACACGTTCCAATGTTAGCGATTACAACAGAATAGACGAACGACAAGCCATGGAATGTGAAGGCATTGAGGCTGCCATAAGAAAAGTAGTTCTTCATCAGCTTAGCTGCCATTCCATTTTTCTCCTTTCTTTTTCTTTTTCTCTTCATTACTACGTAATATATATATTGATTTATTGTGCTTTCTCATTCGATCATATGACTATTCTAGATTATTAATTCATACTGATCAGTTGATTTTTCATGACATCTAAAAAATTGGATAAGGTAGAAATTTTATTTTCCAGTAATTTTTACTTTCTTTCGTATATCATGAAATATAGAATGATTTGGAACAAGTGATTATATTTTTTAATGAACAACAAAATTTTGTCGGACATGCTTCAAAATCAGCCGCTATTAATAATGCCATTGACATAACAATATTAAATAATGATGAAGGTAAGAGAATAAATGAGAATTTGCACAAATGTAAATCAGGTGCGCTAATTTAAAGCTTTAAATTGATGTAGTGGCGCATGCAATCAGCTAGTTTTTTGTTTTGAAATTCTTTTGATGATCGAAATATGTTATCTGAAAAGTCTATTGATGATTTTCCTTACATAATTACTTGAAATAAAAGCAAGACATCTCATTAAATGACCCATGATTTTGGCGAATATTTTCTGTTTTACTTTAGCTGATAGACCAGATCCACTTCGATTACCAGAAGTCATCATAGTAATTTGCGTATTATTATTATGGTGCGGATCAATATTTAGTTTTATTCGTCATTCAGAATTATTGCGAATTCGTCATCGTGATATACCTTATCGCTCTAATATGAAACCACCAATGAATCTGAATCATATTACTGTTGTTCATCGTACAAGTGATACGGTTATTCATTCGAAACCACGACGTTCGTCAGCTCTTGGCTTACCATCGTCAGTATATAATCATAAAACTAATAAATATAATAAAATAGAAAGTACGCCACCAGCAAGGTTACATTTCTCTCCACAAGTACAACATTCATATTCATATAATTCAAATAATTCTATAGCAAATCATCCTTATCATGATGAACAACTTCTGAGTCCAAGTATGATATCGCACGATGTAAGAAGAAGTTTACTTGATTTACATTATAAAAGTATGGATAATTTGTCAGCAATGAAACATACTATGTCATATTCAACAACTGATGTATCAAGACGTAAACAAAATGATGCACGTCGTACAACGATTGACGAACGAACTGTACAAGAATCACCTGTATAATCAGTTTTTTTCTCTGTTGATCAACATTATCCTGAGATTTATGGTTTACGTGTTGTATGAATTCTATTTTAAATATTTAAATTGAACTTTTAAAGTGAGCCTGCTTTCTAAAATATTATTCTATGATAAATGTGAAGGCTTGTATAGATATCTTATCATTATTCCATTACGAAAATCAAAAAAAATAATTGATTCGGTTTGTCACGTACTGTTAGAGAGAAAATACATAGAAAACTCATCGGAGGAAATTTATTTTGATGTGTCTATCATGGTCTCGATCCGATTATTGGCTTTTTTCTCTGTTAAGAATATAACATATGTTATTTCTAAAATATATATCCAGAAAAGAAATATATCAATAGATATATACATATATATGGCAAATATTTTGAATTAATGCTAGGAGAGTTACATTGTTGTGACATTGTAGAAGTTCTAGAACCAGTTCTTTTATATCTCTCTTTATTCTGACATTGATGATATTATCATTGATTGAAGTATCAAAGTAGCGATGATTAAGTCTGCATCAATAATCTTTTTTCAATGTAACACGAGAAAAATTGAATGACAATAGTCTAATAATTCAATTTTTTTTGTTAAGTGTTCTGTTAAAAATGAGTTAATTTAGAAGCACCAAAAATGAAGCCATTTCATCTTGCGGACTGTTTTGTATTACCATTGATGATTGTCTCGTATTTCTATGATTAAAAATCATCTCTTTTAATCTATACTAGTTTCATAATGAATGATTTAACGAAACATGTAATGTTTTATAGAAGTGCACTGTGTGATTTTTTTTCTCAGAATTGTAATGTAGAAATGTTTTTTAAATAATTGAATGTTTGTTCAAAAATATTTCTGATTACTGACCGAATTCACTGATTGTTACAATAACAAGGCTAGCTAACATTTAATAATTCATAACATTTCTCGAATAAAGAAGAATGTTTTTTTAAAATCTATTATTAACTATTGATTGCAAAAAGATCATTTTGTTAATATCGTACTTATTTATCTGATCCAGATAACAAAAATATCTGATTATCATAGAAATGTTACTTTACTATAAAACATGCCTATCGTATGTGGCTTCTCAGTTAAAATGATGACACTCTAAGTCTAGGTTTCTCTTCAGATAGATTCAAATTATCTGAAATTTTTAGAACATCGGCAAGCTGTATGATAAAGCTATGATGAAATGATTAATTATATAGCATGGCTTTTTAAAGCGATGTTTGTAAAAAAAAACTAACTCAGTCTAGCGCAAAATAGTTTATTGATTTTTATTCTATGGTAAGGGCATCAAAGAAGTCTTTTCCACTCCAACTTTTTAATTTTCAAGCGAGTACAATGGATGATAAATTTGACACCATGAGACAGCCACAAGTATGATGCTCCACCGATGAAATCACTATTTAGTGCAATAGTAAAACAATTTTGATTCAAAATACGTACTTATTCATATTCTAAATATTGATAATCCGTGAAACCATCAAGAAGTTTTGGCAAAAGTAATAGAGCTGCCATATACATAACCAGATAATTTATGAAAGGTCAGGCTTGGGAATATCTTTTAATCTACTTGTTTTAAGCTTGATTTCTCTCTCTCTCTCTCTAAAGGAATCAGTAGCCTTAACAAAGACTTTTGCAAAACAAAAGAGAAGGTTTCCATTGTAAATATTACAGAAACAACAATTATATAAATTAACCTGAGCCAACAAAATGCTGCACAATCAATGATGTCTAAAATCGAAAAATAAAGTATGAGAAGAATAACTATTTTTGCAATCGACTTGGAACAACGAGAATAATTTATTTTCTCTATCTTACTTTCACATGGAAAAACCAAAGCTTATCTAAAATTATTTACGATTGTTTTGAACGAAAATCAGCAGTTCTCAATCGTATATATGAATGTAAATTAACAATTTTTACAGACTTGTGCATTTTGTCCCACAATCAACTGGTGGGGAACTAAAATTCTTACAGTAATATTTGGTTTCTGAATTTTCTGCAATATCTAAGGTGGCAAACTTGCTACGACCAGTATATTCCACTATGTCTTACAGACATGTACAAATTTTAACTAAAAGGTTTTTTCAGCAAAAGACAAATCAATTTAGAGGAGTTAGTAACCGATTTTTGAGTTTTATAAAGTCAAAAACAATATTGACTGTATTGTTTTGAGAATTTTCAGCTCAGCACACTAATCTATTATGATGAGAATGTATGTATATACGTATATGATGCGTAATTCTATAGGATTTTATGATCTCTGTTAAGGAAATGAGTTCGGATAGATCAACAGAATATTCAGATTTACTGTCTGCGAATAAATTGATAATTCGACGATTCTAGAATTTGATACGAATTATATTGAAATGTTTGAATGAATCAGTTATTTAAATTTCAATATGATTATTGTTGATAAGAATGAAGAAAAAAAGATGTCATTGAATATAATTTATAGGCACATTGAACTACTGTTACATGTAAAGAATTATCTGAATGCTATTGATATTTACTTTTCAGATAATCATTGACCATGCATAATCATATTGTCAGCAACTCAATTAGTTTATTGCTTAACAAATTATAACACATAATGAGTTATATATGATCCTGAAAAAGAATCAATTTAGTCGTTTAAGACAGTTGCTCTTTTTGTATCATAAAGGAAGTGATTTGGTCATGATATAGTAAATTATTACATTCATATATTTATACAATCTCTCTATTTTGCTTTTTACGATACATATTTGATTTTTACGAATGAAATAGGTTCCGTCGTATGAGTAAACTGGATTAGTTTTGTTTTGTTATTTTTTAGCTATTCCGTTGTATTTTTATTCGTGAAAAAAATAGAAGATCGATTTCGAAAATTAATTTAAAACAAAAGATTAATATCACAATAGAAAAATATTGACCCGTAATGGTGTATTGACGAATATAAACGGAATCATAGACTAGCAGTTTAATTCAATTGTATTTGATCATGCTTCGAACACCTACCGTTGGTTTTGCTACTCTATTATTACTGCAATATATTGAAATAGCACAAGGAGGTAAAAACAGTAAAAACAAAAGCTTTATCTACGGTTCTATTTCCTAGTAACCTGTGCAAGTAATCCATGTAATCTTATAGCTGGTCTCTATGAACCATCTAACGGTTACTGTTGTTATGATGTTCCACCTACTTTTAGAGATGCTTTATGTACATGTCCAAATAATGTTCAGGCTGTAGTTAATGCGCCTTGTCGTAAGAACATATTCGATAATTTTCATACCTAACTGTTTCTGTATGCAGGTACTACGACAAATCAGGCTATTTGTTCTAAACGATGTGTGAATGGTGGTGTCTGTAATATTGTTAATGGCCAAGAAGTATGTTGGTGTCAATTAGGTTTTAGTGGTGCCTATTGTGAAATCCAAGGTTTCAATTATTTTAGAAGTATTTCTTATGTGAACAGATTCATTTTTGAATAATAAAGGTATTCTTGGTCGTTGTTCTCCGGGATTATGTCAAGTTGGCACTTGTGTTGAACAAACAATTGGATCAAGTACACATGCTTATTGCCAATGTGCACCTGGCTATAGAGGAATAACATGCAATCAGTGTTTGTATTAATGAATTTTATTTTACTGATTTACGTCAATTTATTTTTCCATAGGTTATTTTACATGTCCACGACAAGGTGTTTTTCCTGATACATCACAATGTTCTATTGGCCGATACTTTTATTGTGCTCAACCGAATGGTGGTATGTTTTCAAAAAAAAAACAATTTTTCTTTTGAACAGTAAATATGTTTATACTTATTTTAGCACCTATTGCTGCTACGTGCCCAAATGGACAAACTTTTAATCGTCTAACAAGCCAATGTGACAATTCAGTGCCGTGCACATAGATGCAGCACAAAACTTTTCATGAATGAATAAATAAATAAATAAATAAATAAATAAATTGATACTATCGAGACACAAGAAAAAGGATATTGCCTTTTTTGTCGATATATTTATCGTGATTAAAAGATTAAATCTATACTTGATATGATGAAAGGTATCATTCTATGCTCTTCTTTATCTTGTAACAATGATTTAATTGTATATTTCTCTGAGAAAAAAAAGAAAAATCTATTTGCTATATGGCACTGACACAACGAACTTCTAAAATTGAAACATTATTTTTATTATATAAATCAAATTATTATGAATATCTGTTTGAAAAAAGTAATCAATATGAGATCCAAAATTTTGTCTGCTAACAGAAAAAGTGGTTTGCTCTCGACGATTTCATTTTTTCTTCATTTATATAACATTAATCAATGAAATCCAATTGAATTTCCAAGACGAATGTGCATGGTTTTTTCATGCCACAAGAAACCCGAGATGCTATTGAAATAACTATGTTAGTGTTTACTTGCCTCATCAAATTTCATTTTGTTTTGTTTCTATTGAATTTGTTCCTTGAATCGAACTTGCAATCACAAACTTGTAAATTTAGACTTGAAACAGGATTTTATAATTATTTATTTATTTTAAAAAAAGATGTTAGAAAAATCTACTAAAACTACGTGTTCAATTGGGTATAAAACTGAATGGTTAGTGTAAGAAACAAATCTGAAGTATGAAAAAAGAATCAAATATCAGATTCAGAAAAGTTACAAAGGTATCACAAAAGATAACATTAAACTAAACACTTAATGCAGCTGGATTTTCATGAGATTCATTAGTCTTATGTGTTTGATCGATTTCTACTTTAGCTGGACGATTAATCCACATAAGAGAAAAATGCATTAATGCACTTATTATCAAACAAATACCACTAATTACAAATAGTCCATTAAAACTGCTGGTGAAATCACGAATTGCACCCATTAACTAAATAAAATTTTTCGAATAGTGACATTCTCAAAGTATATTCTTATTAAATAGAACTTACAGGTGGCGCAGCTAATGATGTTATACCTCGAAACATCAATGATAAACCTAATCCACTACTGTAAAGTTCAAGGCCAACAAATTGACAAACAATGACTGGACTTAATGATATATGAAATGCTAGAATGTCACAGAAACTGTGTAAAATAGTTCAAATATATTTTCAACAAAACAAACTTTACCAATAAAACCACCCCAAACCAAGCAAAAAAATGCTAGCTTAAAATAATTATCACAGAATGGTACTAATAATGTAACCAGGCCAGCAAGAGTCAAACCAATATTATGGACTAGTAATGGTGTCATATAAGGAAGTTTGGTTATCCAGCCGGACCCAAATCGAAAAGCTGTATTGGTGAAACCTAAAATTGAAAAATTCTTTAGTACAGAATAACAAAATCCAATCATTCTATTTACCGATAAGTGATATTAAAAATGCGGCACTCTTCTTACTAGCTCCTTGTTTTTCTTCAGATAGTTTAGAAATAAATAAAAAAGGCGTATAATAGCCAATCATTGAGAATACATTTGCCTTGAAAAAAATCAAGCAACAGTACAATAAGTCTTTATAATATAAGAAGAAAACAAAATATTTTGTTTTTATATTTTACCAAACAAATAATCAGCATGTTTTTATCACGTAAAAGATGAAAATTTGTCATAGAAATAAATATATCCCAAAATGCTTTCATTTTATTATCTCCGACTTCTTCGGGAACTTTTGTTGTTTCTTGGATATAAGTAGGTATATCAGGTTGATTTTGAAATTCTGGTAGATCTCTTGTATCACCTTGATAGAGTACATCTTCTTTATATAAACTATTGAAAAAATGTATACGAAAACATGTATAAAATATTTTCAAAATAAAATTTTCTTACGGACGAACAGCGTCTTCGGCCTTAATACTATGTCGAGATTTTGCTGATAAGGCCGATCTTGCCGATACACCAGATATGGCTGATACACCCGATTGAGTTCGAGATCGTTTTTCAATTTTGTCTTCAAATACTACTTCAAGTCCATTTGTATCTTCAGGATAGATCGATGCTGGTGTAATACTAATTTCTGGTACTCTTGTTTCTCTGAGTGAAAGTGCTGGTGTCTATGTTAATAATAGATTAATACAAGCTTTAAAACAAAAGATAGAAAACTAACCATGACTTTCATCGTTTTTTCACCGGTTCTATATAAAGAAATAAGAACAAAAATTACTATAAGAAGCATTTTTTACAATTCATTAGAAGAAAAATTATTTGTCGAATGTATCAAAAAATCAAATTGTTTCGTTCGGTACTGTAGATATGCAGAAAAAATAGAATCTCATAGTTGCAAAATTTGTAGAGAGATTTACTTGTGGTATATTCATCATATTGCAAATTCTAGATCAGACAAGAAATATTTCCTATAGAGAAACGATTTCTGGTTATATGCAAGGATATGAAAAACAACTAATAAATATTTCAATGAAGAAAAAAACAAGAAGTATTTTGACATGATCCCAAATAAATAGCTGCTCTATAAGTAAGCATTAAAAAATCAGTACAATAAATCTCATAAGTTCGTATTTCAGAAATAATTACACTTACATGCCAGTAGAAGCTATAATACGCCGTTTTCGGATCGGCTGTAAAGGGCGCATAAATATACAGCAGAAAGCACAGCACAGTAATATAAGTGACATTATGAACAAGCCTATTTTCCAACCAAATGTATCAAATATAAAAGTTGCGAGTGGCGGGAGTGCAATGCAACCAATACCGGTACCAGCAGTAACAATGCCTACAACAATAATAATACATTGACTATACAAACAATCACGATAAATATTTTTTGTTACCTGTAGCAATAGCACGCTTTTCTTCAAAATAGTATCCAACCATGACAATACTTGGTAAGTAAACAAGGCCCATACCGATACCGCCAATAAAACCGAATGAAAGCCACATACATACAATATTTGGCGAACGAACAGACACTGCGACAGCACCTGCAGCAATGCAACTTCCAATAATACCAATTCGACGGCAACCCCATTTATTACACAGAGCAGAAGCTACGGGAGCTATATTCAAAATAAGAAAGGAACTCGAATAATAATTTAAAATATAAGAACACAAAAACAAACGAAATTGAACAGTTTAATTACCACTAAGTAAATAAAAGCCACAAGCTAGTGAAACAACGAGTGATGTAGCCCATTCTGTAGTTTTATAAAAACTTTTAATATCGTTTGATACAGCACCAAATGAATAAACAAAACCATCAATAATTAAATTTATTAGCTTAATCAAGAAAATTTATAAAACTAATTCATAACTAAAGATAACGACTTACAAAACATGCCACGAGAACAACCCAACCGAAACCTCCATCTGGTGGTACTGTTATATAATCATATTCTTCATCGTCTTCCAATTTAGATGATTTCTCGATTTCTATTTCTTCTTTTTCAAATTTTGATTTAACTTCGTTTTCCATTTGTGCGTAGTTTTAATGAAGTATCAAGACAAAATACATATGGGAATTTCACTATTTTGTATATAGAACTTAAATTATTGAGATGATAAAACTTATATCTGTATTGGATGAACTGACAATCAAAGTTATATCTGAAAAATATGCATTTCAATCCATAAAATACTTCCACGACTTCAATGCATGATCTATTTGCAGGCAAATAAATGTACTTATTTACATATAATGATTTACACTCTATGCTATTGCTTAATAAAGAAATATAGAGTGCCAATATATATATATATATATTTATATATGCTGGAATATTTGTATCTAATAAGAAATAGACATGTCATAGGACAAAAATAATATATTTGCCCTTGGCTATGAAGTTCCTATAGGAAGATTCGAATGCAATCTGTTATCTAATTGAATTCCTATCTTTTAATATGATGTCATAAAGTTTAAACAAAAAATGAATTTGAAAAGACGTTTATATAGATTGTCATTCTATTGAAATAAAAGAGCAGTTATATCAAAACTTACCATGAAGATTTTACTGATATATTAGCTTATAATATACGCATTAAGTAGCTATTATTTTTCGGTGTTTGTTTCTGAATATTAGAAGATTAACTCATGAAGTATTCAACTCAAAAAACAAGTAAATGAATATTATGATAGTATCGTATGAAAAGAGCAATTATTGAGAAGATGTTATGTAAATATGTTTCGACAATAGAACATTCTTAGTTTTTCATGAAAATCGAACTCAGTATATCGTTAACTAATTTTCACTGTTCACCATTTACAAATGGCTGGCTTGTTTTTCTTATTGTTTGCTTCCGATATTGACGCAGCTTTACTATTTCAGAATCAATAAAATTACTATATAGGACATCAAGGAGTGTACAATATAAAATGTAATATTATATTTATCCATAATAATAGATAAAAGTAAAACAAACAATCAGAATCATACATTATTATAAATGTGGAAACTTCGGATTTCATCCGAGAGTTATGTGTACTGCAAAAAGTGCATGCGACATATGAGTCATTCTAGAATGCCTGAACACGAAAATTATCATGAGAAACTAGACAATTTGATTTCTGGATGGAGTTTTTGTGAATTTTGAGACGTTTTTCAGGCGATGTTTCGTTAGAAAGCTATGACTTAGTTCAAAACTAATATCAGATTTAGAATCAGCGTTAAAAACTGAGTCGATTTATATATGTTGTGAATAATTCTGAGAAAATTTTTTTTTTGAAAAATCCCTGTACTCCCCCTCAGGGATGGTCTGATCAAAAATGACAATTTTTTCGACAACTCAGCCATTTCTTGACGGATCCTTCTCATCTTCGAACTCGACCTAGATA